AAATCCAAATTTTCAGAAGGAAGGGAGAAACAAATATTAAGCAATTCACATACAGACATACACCCAGCCCAACTGATTTTTGTTGCAGATTGTTTAGGCAGGTGGTTAGATTTATATCTTGTTTCTGCTTCAAGATTCCCCTGCTCAACGACCGCAGCCCTTCTTCAACACTCCCCGATCCCGTCCCGCACAGGACGCACAGCAGAGGCCGCACAACGGCTCTCAGAAAACGGTTGAGTCCGGTCAACTTCAGTGTTTCGATCCGAATGACACAGAGCATGCGCCGCATATCTTTTTTTTTACGGAAGGACAGGAAATAAAGATCATCTTGTCTCTCTAGGAAGACGCGCTCTCTCTCTTTTACCTTTATTCCGAACCTCCTGGAGCCCAAGAGGGCGTGGGAAGTTCTGGCGGGACCAGAGACCTGGATGTGAGTTGCAGCTGCCCTTCTCACAAACAAAAGCACTGAAGAAGGGAAACCCAAAATTCTTCCAAGCATATTTCCTTGGAAATCTGGGAAGGGGTAATGAGTTGGGGGAGGGGAGACTCTTTTTTTCCCCTAGCAAGAAAATCGGAAGGAGAAGCTCCGGACAGACAGAGGAAGGCGTCGACTGAGCGCTTTGGCTTTGCCTGCAGATCCCGGGCTGGCTCTCGGCGCCTCTAGCGGTGAAAGGAGCTTGGAAAACACCTTGTGTGTTGTGCAGGTGGGGTGGGTGTCGGTGTCGGTGTCTAGCCTTCTGCTTTTTAAAGGTGTTTGAAGGGCCCTTCTCTGCCAGGGGCGCTGGAGGTAAGGCCAGGACTGGGTCTGGTGATTGTCTCTGTGTGGAGAGTTACCACAGCTTGCCCCATAACTCTGGAGAAACTGCTCTGCATGTGTTTTCAGCTAAGAGGACCGTGATTCTCTGTACTCAGAAATATCCCCTTTCACTCAAACCTCCTGGAGAAAAAGAAAAGTTGCAGTCAGTAATATTCCTGTAAATAAGACAGTTCAAATGCCAGGAGAGAAAAAAGGGAAGAGCTGTGTCCCGTTTGAAAGAACATCTGGTTGCAGACTGTTTTCCTAAGCTTTCACTCAGAGGGAATTTAATTAAATGATCCAATGGAACTAAGGTCTCTAAACAAAAGCTTTGTAATTCTGTCTTTTATTTCATTTCTCTGCTACTCTGATGTTTTTCTTTTTCACCTCAGATTGGAACCTGGAACCATGTTAATTTGCTTGTGAAGTATCTTTATGTCTATATTTGAGAATAATAATTGACCAAAGATGGAACACTAGCCTTGTGAGATTTGTACAGAGCCTCTTCATAGAATTAAAACTTTATGAATGAAAGTCACTTTGTAAAGCCAAGAAATCTTTTGCTATGTTTGGAGCTACACTGGAACACAAAGAGAAAATGAATGTGCAAAGATCAGCAAGACTGGGAGTAACAAAGTGCCGTCCTGTCATTGAAACCGGGAGCAGTGGAGAATTCTGGGAAACAACCAGGCAGAAGATCCTCCTTGAAGAAACTACCAGCTCAGAAGTTCAGCGTTGGCACTTCAGAAGTTTCTGCTATGAGGAGGCCAAGGGGCCCAGAGAGATTTGTAGCCAACTGCACCAGCTTTGCCATCAATGGCTGAAGCCAGAAAGGAGCACAAAAGCTCAGATGTTGGACTTGGTGATCCTGGAGCAGTTCTTGGCTGTCCTGCCCCCAGATATGGAGAGTTGGGTCAGGGAATGTGAAGCAGAAACTTGTTCCCAAGCAGTGGCCTTGGCTGAAGGCTTCCTCCTGAGCCAAGCAGAGCATGAGGAGCTGGGAAAGAAACAGGTGAGACAATTTCATCCTGGTAGCTGCATGGGTAGTAATGTATCTAGCAGTGTCCATGATTTCTTAATGCCTAGTCAGTCTTTCCTGGAATTTATAGCAGATTTTATTTCCTTTTTAGGCAAATAGTTCTGTTTCCTCTTCCAGATAATTCCAGAGGAGAGCATGGAAACCTAAGACTTTTTCCATCCCATAGATACAAGAATTGGAAGAAGAGGACAAGACATCTCTTTCCCATGTGTCTTCTCCCCTTCTTCCTTGCTCCTGGAGCAAGCACTTTTTCCTACTAACTGCTGCTCAGTTCTAGTCTTGGCAAGAAAACACAGTTTTGGAAATAAGTGCTATAGTCCCATGTATATTTACTGAAGATTGAATGCTGAAATGCTGAGCAAGACACATACAAACTCAGAAAAACAATACAGATTACTTTAATTAGTCTACTGTTAGTAATATGGCAAAACAAATGTTAAGGTTTGATGTTTTATCCATGATAATATTTATATTCTCTTTACCGACAAAAATATAGACAAAAGATAGAGACAAAACATTCATAGACAATATTCACATACAAAATATTAAAAATATTTTAAAGATAAAATAGAAAAAATAGAAAATATTCATAGACAAAAGATACAGAGATAACACGACTCAGGATGACTCCTCCAAATTTCAGATAAACCTCAACCTAGAATCAAAAGGGTGCTTATATACCCAACCATTGTCCATCTGAAACACATCCCCCATATAGTTTGTCTCTTTAAAGCATTATCTGACTTTGAGTCCCCTCTCTTCAGATCATGCTTGGCAATGCTTATGAACTATTTAAAAATATAAGAGGTTGTCAATGGCTTGAGTATCCATTAGAAATGTGATTCCTCTTACTTAAAAACAGAATCTGTTGACCAAAGCCCAGTACAGGAAGGTTCTGTTTTTCCATCTACTGTAGATGACTGCCAGTATTTTACAATAAGTAGTTTAAAAAGAAGCACAAATATATTCTTCTAAAAGTGCTAGTTAGTAGAAAGAATTGTTAAAGAATAAAACATTGACTGTAAGATAAAAAATATTTTTAATTGGGTAAAATATAGCTTAGGCCGTATATTTGGTAAAATCCATACAGAAACTAAAAATTTAAACCTGACCAACATTAGAGACTGGAAGGAATCACAAGTGCCCTTCAAGCACATTTATGATATGCTCAGCCTATGTGCCTTCACAGTACACATTTGGGCATTGATTACTAGGCTTATGGACCCAAGGGACTTCCTATTACAACAAGCAAAGAAAAACAAAGCAGAACATTAACTCTAATCATAATACCTCAAGAGGAACAGAAAAAATAAACATACCAGTAGTCCTCACTTAATGACCATAATAGAGACTGGAAAATTCATTGTTAAGTGGGGTGGTTAAGCGAGTCGCACCCAATGTTATGACGTTTTTTGCAGTGGTCATTAAGTGAATCACCACAGCCATTAAGCAAATCACACTGTTAAGCGAATCACACAGTTCCCCATTGATTTTGCTTGCCAGAAACTGGCTGGGAAGGTCACAAATGGCGATCACATGACTCCAGGATGCTGCAACCGTTGTAAGTGTGAGCTGGTTGCCAAGCACCCAGATTGCAATCGTGACCATGGGGGTGCTGCGATGATTGTAAGTGTGAGGACCAGTTGTAAGTCCCTTTGTTCAGCACCATTGCAACTTTGAATGGTCACTAAACAAATGGTCATGAACTAAGGACTACCTGTAGATGCAATCAGAAATAAGAAAAGGCCACAAGCTTGAAAGGAAGAAAAGGTAGAGAATGGATAATTGAAAAGAAAAGAAGAACAAAAGCATCTGGCAGAATGTCAGGGCATTTTAACTGGAAATAAGAGCCAAATACAAAGCAGCCCTCCCAGAGCAATATCAATTTAACCTGCAGGAGGGTCACCAGGAAATTGGAGAGCAAAGCAAGCAAACATAGTCAAATTCCCCAAAAGTGGATCATAAGCCAAGTACCTCTGTCCAGGGTTTTCTCATGTTGACTGGTCTTTTAGGTGCAGGAGGCTTTGATGGAGGTGGACCCAGCATGTTCTAAGGGAAGAAGAGATCTATACACATCCTTTCAGGAGCCGTTCCTGAAAAGGATCTTCCAGGAGGATCCCATTCAGGTCACCTCATCATGTAAGTGAAAGTTTCTTCTGAAAGCAGTAGAACCTGATTGACTGATTGATTGATTGATTGATTGATTGCTATCAATTGTAAGTGTGGACTCTTACCAACTACATAGATAGACCTTCTCCAGGATGATCTGTTATCAACCTGGCCTTGTAGATCTCTCAGTAGTGTGTTCATTGCTGTTGTAATCAAGTCTGTCTGCTTTGCTGCTTGTTACCCTTCTTTTTCTTTTTCTTTTTCTTCCATTTTTCAGCTTTATGGACTTCTCATGTGTCCAAAATAAGATAGAGTCTAGTAATTTTTTCCTCATATGAGATTCAGCTCTGATTAATTTTGTGATCCATTTGTGTGTTTTTCTGGTTACTTATGGTATTCTCAAGAGTCTCATTCAATCCTGCTTCTTCAAAGTCCAACTTTCATATCCAGAGAGTGTTACAGGGAAAATATTGCCTGCATTATTCTGATCTTGGTAGGTATAGACACATCACAGCACCTGAATACCTTTTCCAAGACCTTCATTGTTGCCCTATCAAGTGCTTGTCCCTAGTGTATTTTTTAACAGCTGGTTCCTTTATTGTTGGTTCCTTTACTGTTGGTAGTGAATCCTAAAAGGCAAGTATTCACAATGTCACTGTCTTCATTTTCAGTTCTAAGGTTGGGTGCTGTGCCTGTTCTTATTAGTTTGGTTATCTTTAGATTTAATCCCCCAATATATGGTCAACTTTTTGAATAAATAAGGAGAGAGTTTGCAGTCTTGTCTTACTTCTTTGCTGACCTAGAGCCATGTTCTGTCTGTACAGTGGTTTCCTAGATTTTGCATAAGGACAATAAGATACTCTGGGATTCTCAGTTTCCTAAGGACATTCCATATCCTGACATGGTCAATATTGAATCTTTCTGTATTCAATAAAGCATACAGTATATTGACTTCTTTCTGGTATTCTTTAGCTTTCTTAATTATCCAAAATAGTCTGTTTTCCCCACCTTTCTGTTGCTCACAGGGAATGGAATGTTATCAGTGGAAATCCCTGAATTATCTTCTCTTTGTGATGGCCCAGAAATCATAGCTATGCCTCAATCTCAGGTAGGAGGTGCTTCATAAGAGGATGGGACTATTTGGGGGGGCCAAGTGTTGTTACGGGTTGTTATGGGGTTCAGTGGGTGGCCTGTTCCTTCACAAGATGGATGTCAGGCCCAGCCCAAGAACAACAGGGAAACAGTCCACTAAGTTCAATTCTTTTATTGCTTACACCATATACACAAAATCTTGCCAGACTAAATCTATATTACTCTAATCTAGTGGATATACCCTGGGAGATTCTAGGGAGTGGCTATCCTAAAACTCTTCCTCTTCCCGCAATCCTGCTCCAGACTGTGTTGTCTCTTGTCTCACCCCCCTTCCTGGAATGTGCTCCCTCCTTCCTGAGATCCTGCTACGTTACTGTAGTTCATCACAATGGAGTACTAAGATTAACATTCAAGTATCTGCCAAGACACACTCATTCAACTTGGTTTGCCTTCTTGTGAAAATCCAAAGAAACAAGAAAGGCTGGTATCAGGAAATAAAATTTATTTATGGGGAAATTGCAGTTTTGTTTTGTTTGTTTATTTTTGTGCTGTGGTATGTTACTGTAACTAGAATCCTTCAGACAGACAGGAAGAATAGCAAATTCTTCTGTATTGGATTGGATTGCTAAAAACAAGTTAAATACAATCAGAGAATTTAAATACCAAGGACAGCATAAAACCTACTACAGAAGTATGTAGCCACATCACATTAAAAAATACTAATGTGAAATACAGAATTGCTTTGTAAAAAATTCTTAGAAACAAAGCTAAATGATTACAGGTAGTCCTTGCTTACCAACCACTCGTTCAGCAACCATTCAAAGTTGTGACGGTGCTGAACGAGTGGTACTTACGACCAGTCTTTGAAGTTCTGGTTGCTGCAGCATCCCTGCAGTCATGTGATTGCGATTTTGGCGCATGGCAACCAGCTCACACTTAACTATGGTTGCAGCAGCGTGCCATGGTCATGTGATCTCCATTTGCAACCTTCTTTGCTGGCTTCCCACAAACAAAATCAGTGGAAAGCTCTTCCCACAAATAAGGTCAATGGGAAGCCAGCAGGGAAGGTTGCAGGTTACTCTGGTAAGTCCCCCTCCCCGCCTTCCTATGCACCATGCCCTCCTTCCCTGCACTTGCACACATGCATGCACCCACTAGCACTTGCACACACACATGCACCTACTAGTGCCTGTCTTCCTCAGCCTCTTTGCACTCACACGCACCCTGCACCCTCCTTCCTGGGCTTCCTACGCTTGGACACATCCCATTCTTTCCTTCTCTGGCCTCCCTGCGTTCACAGGCACACCCATACCCACCAGTGCCCTCCTTCCCAAGCCTCTCTGTACTCAGACACACCCATGCTTTCCTCCCCCAGCCTCAAAGGTCATCTTCAGCATTTTCAGTAATGTAGAAAATGTTCTTACCACATGTCCTCTTGTGTAAGTTCCATGTAATTTACTTGGACAGGTAAGGGTGGAGGATACTGCTCCCTGAGTCACCCTTTTTAAGTCATTCTGGACCAGTGGGAGGTTCTCCAAAGGCAGCTCCTTTGCCATTCTCTAATCTGGATGCAACGAAGCTATGTTTTGTGCAATTAGAATACTGGCATCAACAGTGGAGATGCCTCCCAGCTCTAGTGACTAGACATCAAGACACAAAAGTCAAAAAATGTATCCTGTAAAAAAAGATCAGTTGACTCCATTGCAGACATTGGGACTGTCTGCTAAGGAACATTTTCTTCTTCCATCAGGGTTCTGTGTGCCTTGAGGAGGTGTCCATATATTTCACAAAAGAGGAGTGGGCGTTGCTGGATTGTGGCCAAAGAGCCTTGTATAGGGAAGTTATGCTGGAGAATTCTTGGAATGCAGCCACCCTGGGTAAGAATCCTCTTTGCTCTAGGATCAACACTTGGGGAAGAAGTGCTCAGGAAACATCTCTTGGTTAGAAGGAGGAGATACTTCATTTAGCAAAATCCTTTAGGAAGGTGCAAGATTGGGAGATAGTTGCTCAGATGTGTGCTGGTTTCATTTTCTTCCTGGAGTTAGTTTTCCAGTTTCTCTCTAATCTCATCAAGAGCACGTTAACTCAATTAATGTCACTGGCCTTGTCCCTCTGACAAGTGAGAAATACTCCAAAAGTGCCATTAACAAGTTTGCTTAGTTTGATAAAATACACAAAGAGGGATGAAGGTAATGGGTGATTATGCCAAATTATAGCCTTAGTTTTAATTTAACATTTCTAATGTTAATTTTTCTTTTCTTCAAGTAGATGATGGGTGGAAAAATGAGAAATACAAGGAGCCAAGATTAGTGCCATTAGAAGGAGTCAGACTTCAGATGGGAGAAGTAATGTTTGAAAATCAAGGGGAACCAAAAATCCATGGGAGAAGCCACTCACTGGATGAAGGGGAGAAATCATCTATTTCTCTGTATGTGGAACTCCATGATTTCCTAATCCCACAAGATGATAAAGGAAAAAGAAAGAAGAATTATCCACAGTATGCCACAGCAGCTAAAAATAAATCTGATTTAAGTAAATATTGCAGAATCCAGACTAAAGTAAAACAATATGACTGTGGACAGCATGGGGAAAGTCCCAGTCATTTTTTCCCAATTACTTTACATCCAAAACTACATATTCAGCAGAAACCATACATAAAATATGGGAAGAATTTCACTTTGAGCAATCACCTTATTTCCTTCAAAGGGTTTAATGTAGAGAAGAAAGTGTATAAATGCACGATGTGTGGGAAATGTTTCAGTAGCAGCAGTCATTATACTTGCCATAAAAGGACTCACACAGGGGAGAAACCAAATAAATGCTTTGTGTGTGGAAAGAGCTTCAACAGGAGCAGTATTCTTACATGTCACCAACGGATCCACACAGGAGAGAAACCATATACATGTGTGGTATGTGGAAAGAAATTCCGTGAAAACACAAACTTTATGAGACATAAAAGAATCCACACGGGAGAGAAACCATATAAATGCATGGAATGTGGCAAGAGCTTTAGTGTGAACAGTCACCTAATTTCCCATCAGAGGATCCACACAGGAGAGAAACCTTATAAATGTAAGGAATGTGGAAAGAGCTTTAGTGTGAACAGTAGCCTGACTTATCATAAAAGGACCCACACAGGGGAGAGACCATATAGATGCATGGAATGTGGAAGGAGTTTTAGTGTGAATAGTAGCCTTATTTCCCATCAAAGAATCCATACAGGAGAGAAACCATATAAATGCATGGTATGTGGAAAGAGCTTCAGAAGAACTGCTAATCTTATTTGCCATCAAAGGATCCACACAGGAGAAAAACCGTATAAATGTGTGGAATGTGGAAAGAGTTTCAATGAAAACAGAGAGCTTACTTCCCATCAAAGGATCCACACAGGAGAAAAACCATATGCATGTATGGAGTGTGGAAAGCGATTCCGTAATAGCAGAAGCCTTAGTTCCCACCAAAGGATCCATACAGGGGAGAAACCTTTCCAATGCTTGGAATGTGGAAAGAGCTTTAGTATCAACAGTAGCCTTACTTTCCATCAAAGGACCCACACAGGAGAGAAACCTTATAAATGTTTGGTTTGTGGAAAGAGCTTTAGCATGAACAGTCACCTTACTTCCCATCAAAGGATCCACACAGGGGAGAAACCTTATAAATGTATGGAGTGTGAAAAGAGCTTTAGTCAGAACAGTAACCTTATTTCCCATCAAAGAATCCACACAGGGGAGAAACCATATAAATGTACAGAATGTGGAAAGAGCTTTCGTGTGAACAGTAGCCTTAATTCCCATCAAAGGATCCACACAGGGGAGAAACCATATAAATGTGCAGAGTGTGGAAAGAACTTTCGTGTAAACAGTAGCCTTAATTCCCATCAAAAGACCCACACAAGACAAAAGCCGTTTTAAACATGCAAAATGTGGGGAAAAAAATTGTGTGAATAGTAGCCTTAATTTTCATCAAAGGACTCATACAGGAGAGAAATCATGTTAATACATGGAGTGTAGAAAGAGCTTATTGATAATGATGCTATTACTTCGCATAAAAGATTCTATATAGGAAAGAAACCACAGAAATGCCAGGCTTGTGGGAAAGTTTCAGTTTTTTTACACAGAAGATGATGCACAGTTGTGAGAAACCACAGTATATGAAATCACAGTATATGAAAATAACTCAAGAAAAAGTAGTGTTGATATTTCTCTTAAAAAGGTCTGTTCTGTCACCATGTCTCTTGTAGCCTGCATATCACTCAAACTATTTATTCTATCTACCATAGATTGTCCCATGTATAGTGTGATTGTGACCAATCCATTTTCCAGCTACTTCAGTTCTAAATCTACTATTTAGCCAAGTACTGGAACAGTTTGATCCAAAGAAATCTTAGACTGCTCTGCATGTAACAGATTATCAGCGAATGAATGAGGGATGAAGTGGATTGCCACAATGTTTGGACCTGGCCATGATAATCTTTGATATTTTCATCACTGACTTGAGTGAAGACTTGGAGGGATTTGCAGACAACCCAAATGATGCGGAGTATTAATGTCACAGTGATTTTCCAATAGCTGTCAAACTGATAGTGATTAATCCCAAGTACAGTTATCTCAGATCACAAATTAATAAGATTTATTCATTTATGACCATTCCTAGAGCTGGTTTCAATCACTCATGTCTTTGTGAGTGGTTTACTGTAGTGTGTGCTCTACAAGGGACTGCCCTTGAAGGCCATCTGGAAACAACTTGTACAAAATGCAGTGGTTGATATATTAACTAGGACAAGCCAGTAGTATAACACCAATATTTCATTCTTCATTGGTTGCCCATTTGTTTCAAAGTGCTGGTGAACATGTTTAAAGTTCTTCATGGCTGGAGGCTTAGCTATCTTCAAGATCACCTACTTCAAAATAGAATCTGCCTACCCAAGGCATGGCTGTGGAGTGTGCTTGTTGAGGGTCCCTATCTTCCCTGAGATACAATAAGGGGACTCAGAGGCAGGCATTTGTTACAGGAACTGCCCTCCTAGTATTCAGGAAGCATTTAAAATGTGGCTTTTAAATGTGCATTCGGAGACTGAAGCAAGGATATATCTGAGATTAGATGAATCTGGCTGCTTGAAGTTATGGTATGATTTTTATGATGTAATTATTGTTGGTCGTATTGTTGTGAGCCACCCAGAGTCACCCTTGGGGGGAGATGGGCGGCATATAAATTAGATAAATAAATAAACATAAAATATTGATAGATTTAATCATTTTAAGCTTACTGCAATGTGTGATATGTATTGTAGGTTATATTGTAAGCCATTTACAGCAATATAATTGAAATGGCATATCAGCATTTGTAATAATAATAAATGCATAGAGCACAATAATTCCTGTGATTATTCCACTTGCAGATAAGAAGCTTATATATAAGGAGTTAGGGTGGGAATTTTTTTACTCTTTGTCTTACTCCCTTTTGATGGAGAGGGAAGATGCTTCTCTCTTTTGAGAAGTTTGGCCACCCTGTACCTGGAGATTATTTTGGAAGTAGCTGCCAGCCTTATCACCACTGTCTGACCCCTCACAGCTAATGTTCTAGAAGAAAAAGCTATCTGGCTTGGTAATAAATACTGATGAAAAAGATCTTGGGACTTTAGTGTATTACAAACAAAGTATGTCAGAATATAAGATGTGGCTGCAAAAGAGACAAGTAAACTGGTTTAGTAAGAACTGGTTTAGTTTCTTGGACTTCAGAGAGGCCAGTCAAACTTCTTGCTTTTGGACATAAGTGCTTTAAAGCATTGCTGCTGTCATTTTTGGTAGTGTTATATCAGTTCTGAATGTCTGTGTTTCTCTTTGCACAGACAGCTTACAGACTACTGAATACAATATATGCTTTGGAATATAGATCTCAGCTTTATGTAACTTGTTGCAGATAGTGGTGCTTAAAAGTTTGTGAACACAGTTTATTACTCAGGATAGTCATTTTTGGTAGTGTTATATCAGTTCTGAATGTCTGTGTTTCTCTTTGCACAGACAGCTTACAGACTACTGAATACAATATATGCTTTGGAATATAGATCTCAGCTTTATGTAACTTGTTGCAGATAGTGGTGCTTAAAAGTTTGTGAACACAGTTTATTACTCAGGATATGAAAAACAAGAAACGGTGTTGCTTTTATAATTAATGGTATAGCAAGAACAGTACTTGGCTACAATGCAATCAATGACCGAATAATATTGATTAGACTTGTGGACAATCCTTTAATGTGACAATTATTCAAATTTATGTCCAACCACTGATGCAGAAGAAGAGGAGGTTGATACGTTTTATGATCAAGTCCAATTTGAAATTGACAGAACACACAAGCAAGATGTGCTGCTTGTGATTGGCGACTGAAAACCAAATTTGGAAACACGAAAGAAGAAAATGTAGTTGGATTGTATGGCTTAGGAAACTGAAATGAAGCAGTAGACTGACTTATCACTTTCTGCCACTCCAGTGATTTCTTCATAGTTAACACTGTCTCCAAACAAATAAAATGATGCCTCTATTCATGGCCATCACTAGATGGAGTATATAGAAATCAAATTGAATATATTATTGCTAAAAGGTAGTAGAAGAGCTCAATTATAGCATCAAAGGTATGGCCAGGTGCTGACTGTGGAACACATCACAAACCGCTCATGTGCAAGCTCCCAAGTTAAGCTAAAGAAGAAGTAAGCCAGTCAGTTTCCATGGTATGATCTTGAACATATACCCATTTTCAAGGAGAACATCAGGAATTGCTTTGAAGCCCTGAACTTTATTGATAGAGAACCTGTAGGATTATCAGTTCATTTGAAGGGGATATTAGAGTCAGGTGCTTCAATCAATGGGATGATAATCAGGTGTGAGTATGGGAGGTCCTGCCATATTTAAAGGACAGAATTCTGGGTATTCACTATCAAAGTCTGATCTTTGCAACACAGGAACAGTATGTGGAACTGTGTTATGACTCATACAAAGGAGATTTTGGAGGACCTCCGAAAAACAGTTGCTAATGCTCACCAGGCTGGAAAAGGGTTACAAAACTATTTCTAAAGAGTTTTGAACTCCACTAGTCCACTGTCTGGCAGATTGTATATAAATGGAGGCAATTCAACACCATTGTTTGCCTCCCCAGAAGTGGTTGACCGATCAAGATCACACCAAGAGTGAAGCATGTAATACTTCACGAGGTCTTAGAGAACCCCAGGGTAACATCTAAGAAACCAAAGGCCTCTCTTGCATTGGCAAATGTCAGTGTTCATGAGACCTCCTTCATGAGAACACTGAACAACAACGGTGTGCATTGCAGGGTTGCAAGGAAAAAGCCACTAGCCTCCAAAAAGAGCATTGCTGCCCACCTATAGTTTGCAAAAGACCTTGTAGATCAGCCAGAAGGCAATTGGAAGAATATTCTGTAGATGGATGAGACCAAAATAAAACTTTTGGGCTTGAATGAAAAGTGTTATGCTTGGCAAAAGGCAAACACTATATTTCAGCGTAAGAACCTCATCCCATCTATGAAACGTGGTAGCAGTATCAGTTTGGGACTGCTTTGCTGGTTCTGGACCAAGATGGCTTGCCATCACTGATGGAACTATTAATTCTGAATTGTATCTGCAAATTCTACAGGAAAATGTCAGGGCATCTGTCGTGAACTGAAGCTCAAAAGAAAGTGGGTCATGCAGCAAGACAATGACCCAAAATACACATGTCGTATGACCAAAGAATGGTTAAAGCAGAAGAATGTTTTGGAATGGCCAAGTCAAAAGTCCTGACCTTGAGCCTATAGAAATGTTGTGGAAGGACCTGAAGTAGGCAGTTCATGTGAGGAAGCCCATCAATACCCCTGAGTTGTAGCTGTTCTTTAAGGAGGAATGGGCTAAAACTCCTCCACTGGACAAATTCTTCCTCCTTCCTCCATGCACAGAATTGATCAACAGTTATCAGAAACATCTAGTTGCAGTTATTGCTGCCCCGAGAGGGGCACACCAGTTACTGAAGCAAAGGTTCACATACTTTTTTGCCACACACAAATATGTAGCTTTGGATCATTTTCTTCAATGCCAATGAACAAGTATAATGTTTGTGACTCATTTGTTTAATTGGGTTCTCTTTATCATTTAGTTTTAGGACTTATATGGAGAACATACTGCCTTTTAGGTCACATTTATGCAGAAATATTGAAAATTCAAAAAGGTTCACAAACTTTTAAGCATGACTGTAAACTGTTCTCTCAAATCCTCACTTCGTTAAAATAAAAAATTCTTTATCACTGCTGCGTTGGGTTTATAAACTAGTATCGTACACTCCTTAATTTTTTGAGACCTGCAACCCTGGTGAAAAGGAGAAAACTTGAGCCATTTATTTAAAAGCTCATTCCTGGAGAAAGGGGATTTTCCTTGCTTTCCCTTCCACATTCTGGGCGAGGGGGCATCTCCCCATTCAAGAATTGGTAGCGGCAGCATAACTACCTGCCTGGAAATAGCCATATTCAGACAACCTGGAACTTAAGCAGAGGGGGTGAGAGTAGGGATTGTAGGAGAAATTCCTCTCACAAATTTCCCTAAGCATTTGTTTTAAACTGGACACCAGCTCACAATTTCATTGAAGCACAGCATGTTTATTTTGGTACTGGAGATAACAGGGCTAACCTAAAAAGGATGGAGGTGCAACCTCCCTATATAAAGCTAAGCAAATCAGACTATACGTGTGATTGGATATAGCAACACATTAGGTGTTTATTGAGGTACATTGGGAGGAACTGAGGTAATGAGAATAAGACTACAAAGGTAATTTTGAGAGAAGAGGCAATATTTCATGAATATACTGTCGTTTCTAGAAAGTCCTTGGTTCCCACAGCCTATGCTTGCTTTCTAGTATATTATTACATTACATTACATTACATTAATCTCCACCCATCTCCCCCTAATGAGGGACTCTGGGCAGCTCACATATACAGCATATATACAACTTTTTAAAAATTACAAGCCTATTCTAATTAAATTAGTGCAGCCGTACTCTACTGTGGCCAGCAGCGGTTGCAAGGGAGTAATCTCATCTGGACTTTCTTCCACCGATGATCTTTTCCATCCACCATCAGCTGCGTCACACATCCGTTGTTTTTTCTGCCGATCGGGTCCAGCACCAGTCCCCACAAAGCACCACCGGTTCCTCCCATCGAAATGGGAGTGCCTATTTATCTACTCGCAGATGGTATGCTTTCAAATTGCTAGGTGGGCAGGAGCTAGGGATGAATGATGGGCAGTCACCCTGTCATGTGGAGCTGGGCCCAAACCACTGGAGTGCCAACCATTTCTGGCTGGCAAACTCCAGTGTCATTAAGCCCTTACGCCACCACATCCCCTGGTTTTATCAACATTTCTTGGCATTCTAAATGTTTTTATGACTGACTTGTCAGGGTTTATTGTTTCCCAAGTCCCTTAGAAGGTAGGAAGGAATGTTTTGCTTTATTTAACTTGTTCTAACAGTGACATATATTCTCCTACAGTATCTCAGGGAGGAGTTGGGCAGCCTGCTATGTCTGTTGATGATAGACAAATCTGCTGCTCAACAGATCTAGCCTAATGAATCCACTCTAGTGTGCTTCTTTAACCATTGTCTCAATCAATCTAGAACCTGAAAACTAATTTCTAGAAATGGTCTTCCAAGTTTTGGATGAAATTATTTACATATCTGCCTGAAATAACTGGGATCTAGCCTAACCGTTTCATATGTTTCATTCCTTAAATTCAATATAAATTACAACTTCCCCATCAGGCATGTCATAATGTCAATAACTATCTCAGCCAACTAAAAATAGGAATATATTTTGTAACTTCCTCCTTTTGGAACTGCCACTATTTTACAGCCCAAATACATGGACATGGACTTGGATACAGGCACAGAGGTCTTCCTTTTTATTCCAAGAGAAGAAAAGAAAAAAGAAAAAGAAAACCAGAAGAAGTACAAGCAACTCTGCAAGAAGGCAAAATACCTAGGATTTAATTACCAATAAGACACTGTTACAACAGATGAGTAATATATTACAAACAAATGCCCATATACAAATTATTAAAGGCTCTCAAAAGACCTATACATCACATCTCCCTTCAATAAAAGCAAGAACAGTCACAATAAACATAAAAACTAATCACTTAGTCTTACATACAGTACAACTAAACATAGAACTGTAACCGTTTTTCCAACAGTTTGTAATACGATTGATAACTTGACTAGTTTCAGACGAGACAGAACCCATGTCCCTGAAGCCACAAGGAAGCATACCTGATCAGCTTCCACTAAAAAAAAAAAAAAAAAAAAAATTGAGAATGTACAATATTCCCAACCACTGTTATCAATGGGATCTTGTAAATTTGTGGCATTTGATCCACCTTGTTCTACCATATTAATATCAGGCTCCAATGCTACAAAATTATAGAAACAAAGATGTTGATTCTGGAAAGGAAGGTAGCTTCAGTCACAGCAGTATACCCCTTTGTCTGATGTTATCACCTTATGCAAACTTATTTGATCACATTTTTATTTCATCATAGCAGGTCTCCCTTACTCTGCATTTACACATTGTTTTCCTCTTGCAGTTCTCTTGTTGGCTTTGACATATAGCCATACAATCAGTTTTGTCTATTTTGAACGTGCTGAAGATTTCATACTAGGGTGTGTGTTGAAATTCCTTCAGGGTCACTGAAAGGTTATCTCTCAGCATCCTTCCTATAAAGATTTGTGCAGACAAATTTAATATTCATTAGTATGTTTTGATATTCATTTAATGCCAAATATTGGTGTCCATCAGATTCTTTTCTCTTTCTAAAAAGCTGATGCACAGAGTGAATTACCCTTTTTGCCATTTCCTAAGACTGAGGATATCCTAGATTGCTAAAAGAATGTTCAAAACCCAAATTATGCACACATAGTTTAACTTTTGACTTGCAAAAAGATACTGTCACTCATCACAATCTTTGGGAATCCATGGCAAGAAAAACATGGCTTTAACATTCTCAATTACTGCTCTCACTGTTTTATTTGTACGACTAACCATCTCTGGATATTTAGAAAAGTAATCACAAAAATTAAATGCTTGGTATCAAAAAATATCAATACCTACTTTTTTCCAGAGATACGGAATACCTCAAAGTAATAAGCAGAAAAATGAAAAAATTAGAAAAACAAATGCTTATTTTTGTGTAATAAATAATCCTATGCATTTAAGGGAGATAAAACTGCACCTATCGTCTGATTTGTACTATTCCCACAAAGAACCAGTGGCTTATATAAATAAAATATTCTCTCTTAAAATCACCTACATCTTTGAAAACCTTTGAATATAATATGAATAACAAACCATGTCTTAAAAGCTTAGTTGATCCAACGCTATCAATTGAACGTAACTCAGAGTCTCATCAGCTACCTTCTCCAACTCTGGGAGGGAAGGTGGATCAGTTACATAAAACAATACACGTTTGTTCCCTTGCTGTGGAACATTGTTGTGTTTCAAGGGGTTGGATTTGAGTATCACCTTAAGCTGCAAGCATGTTTGAATTCTCATTAGCTTATTCCCACCTACCTGCTGGAATACTTTCAACCACAACACATTTCCTTCTGCCTCTGTATTTAAGGTTTACTAATCATCCCTCCCTGCAATCTGTGTAGCATTGATTTGGAGGCTGCCCTTTGTGTAATATCAAGCAATTCCCCTATAAACAAACCCTAATCTCATAGGCCTGATGTTCTTCCTGCTCTTTACTATCTACTAATAACTGATCTTCCACACTCTAGCAAAGTGAGTCCTACTGCCAAATTTATAACACAGTTTTCCAGATACAGTACAATACAAATACAAAATACTTTAATGACCAAGTATAAAATATATACAAGGAATCTGTCTTCAGTGACGAACAGCAAGATCAACGGTGCGTTTGGATAGCAACATATACAAGGAATCTGTCTTCAGTGACGAACAGCAAGATCAACGTTGCTATCCAAACGCACCGTTGATCTTGCTGTTCGTCACTGAAGACAGATTCACAGAAAAATAATAAACAGTAACAATAATCCTGCCCAGTAAAATACCTTTTTCAAAGGGAGAAGCCACTGTCCAGTACATATCAAGTCATATAGTATTTAACAGAGCAATGGGACAAGGGAAAAAACTATTCTGATGTCTAGATCTTTTAACATATGGTGCTCTGTAGCGCTGTCCTGAAGGAAGAAGTTGGAACAGATTATGTACAAGATGTGAAGAGTCTGCAGATATCTTCTCCACCCTCCTTTTGAACCTCA